GGGGAATGACATACTGTGGTGCTGAAATCAACAGCAAAGTAGAGTTGGAATTCAAAACTTATCTAAATGAGGTATAGTTCTATACATGAAGAGTGTTATCACACTTGACTACAGTATAATCTTTTAATGCAAAATCTACCAGCGTATCTTAAATAGATAGTATTAATATAATTATTGAAACAACTACCTTCTCTTGTATAGAAAAAAGTTTGATGAAATTGAGTGTACACACAAGAAGTAGTGTTTTCACGTTCCGAAGTTTGAAAGATAATTTAAAGACAAACACAAAATGCAACAAAAAATCAATTCTGGCAAAGGCAGAGCTTACATAAATCCCAGTGATCATCCAAAAAGGGAAAGAGAAAAAAACAGCAATATAGTCAGATCTTTGCTAATTGTAGAGACACTGGTTACTAAACAAAAAATCTGCAGTCTGAGATCGGTGGACTGGTAAGTAAAAGGTCATCTTGGTTTAGAGGAAAAATTTTAATATACCCAACAAAAGGGGGGAAAACCCCAATGCCATCACATTATTTCCTTCAAGAGAATCTCCACACACACACACACACTAATTCGCAGGCGCACCAATGCACCCGCCAACCAGCTACAGGTTTCACAAAAAAAGTGGCCTGTCTGAAATGTGATAGATCTATGAGATTTCAGCCTTAACATTTAAACGTAACCTCTACTCGATTATATTTTCTTTCTTTGTTTAAATTTTTTTATAAGAGTGGTTGGTACCGAAGAAATGCCTACTGGGAACTAAAGATGAAGAAGCATCTTGGTACAAGTACCATCTTTTTTACTGCAGCTGTTTCTACGCCCCTATTGACACAATTTAGGACAATTTAGGGGACGGCTTCCGACCCTGCCTGACAAGGCAAATCCAGGCTGAGAACGATACAACGTCCTAGCAAGAAAGAGCCAGATACTCGATAAAAATTTCCTGCCCACTCAAGATTCGAACCCGGGTCTTGTGCGTACAATACAAAGCGCCTATACCGTCACACCAAAGACATCAGTGGTATCGTCTTTAATCTTTTCACTTTCAACACTCAAAAATATCATTCATACCCCCACAATAGCGACAGCGAATAAAAACAGACACACACACACACACACACACACACACACACACACACACACACACACACA